GTGTTACAGGTGTACACAAGGATAGAGGGGGCGTGGTCAAAGGAAAGCGGGGTATATATTGGGGCACTTTCCAGCATCAAACACATCTCCTCTTCTTAGGACTTGCTGACAACATGAAGGTTCTTGCTCTCGGTGAGTAAATGTAACAAGCTGGTTCCTCGTGTACTTTCTTTGCTGTAGTCACTTTTTTCTAATTTTGTTTATGTTGTGTTTTTTTGTGATTTATTACCTATGATGTTTGCGTTAAAGTTTTGTGTAAAGCCTGATGTATCCATATTATATGTGTTTTCCGAATATCAACTCTTTTTAGTGATTTACATTATTCTGTACATTTGATATTGAAAAGGACTAAGTTGTCCTCATAAATCATACTTTCATTATTCATCTCATTCATTTTGTGATTTTCTGTTGATACAGTCGCTGTGTTGGTGGGCGTGGCCGCCGCCCTTCCCGGCCTCCGTCTGCGTCGCGACTCGTCTCCTCTGCGCTTCGAGCTGCCCTCCAACGCCTCGCTGGTTCTGGGTGGAATCACCACCGGATTCGACTGCGCCGAACTTCCCTACGGATACTACGCCGACACCAGCAACGCCTGCGCCCTGTTCCACGTGTGTCTGCCCTACATCGACAACGACCTCTACATCACCCGCCACTTCTCCTTCATGTGCGGCGAGGGCACCATGTTCGACCAGGAACGTCTCGTGTGCGACTACCCCGAGTTTGCTCTTCCCTGCTCCGAGGCCGCCGCCTTCAGGAGGTCCAACGAGTACTTCGGCCGCGCCGACGTCAACTTCCTGGAGAAGTAAAGCCTGGGATGAGGACGCAACAGTCGCTCTTCGAGTTTTCCTGCAAGACATCAAATATGTCCAATGAATTCATCAACGCCATTTCTATGAAAAACACTTTCAAATATAATGAAAAATCACTCTTTCAACTTGTATTTTACTTCTACCCATTATGATAGTGATCTATTTCAGAAAATATTACTCCAGTGTAACGTAACCAACATTTTCTTATGTTACTGGTAAAAACAACTTTTATCATCAGCATGATTAATATGCAACTTCAACCAACAAAATATATTCTGTTCACGATTTTTTTTTTTTTTTTTTTTGCTACTGCGCTGGTGGTCCATGGTCTGAACCAAGTTTAAGAACCAAGTATATTCTAGTAATGCAGTTTCTGAGTGTACAATCATACAATGAAGTAAATTGGAGCATATATATTGAATAAGATAAAATAAATATTATCGTTGTATTCTATATGCATCTTATACTATTTTGCCTTACTAGCATACATCCTATATGCATATTACGAAGCTATGCATATATCCGGGAGAAGGTCTGCCACGAACGCACTTTTCAGTACACACATCAAGAGTGTCATACTAAGTTTTCCTGATCGAGAACATCTGTAGCGCCCTGTCCCATTAACCAATCACATGTCCAGGAATGACACTCGCACTTACTGCCGGAGTGTACAGTGATATCCAACTGTGCTACTGTATAATTAAAATTCGAATTGATATTCATTTACGAATCTTTTTGGGCAATGCATACAGTAAGACCACTTCCGAAGTCAATCATCGATCAGTTGTCAGTGAGTGTGTACAGTATATTTAAGATTACGTTTATGACTATGGCGTGTCCTTTGCCAGTGGATACCACAGTGAAGTATAAATGAAAGTATATTTATTTATAAACACAACTAATGCCTGGACAGAGCAGGCTACATGCGTACCTTCCAACATTCATGAATTGTGTAAGGACAATGATTCCTATATGGTCTACTGTATCGCAGATTCAATTTAAACACATTATCTACAGCAGATCTTTATTTTTTCGATGCCATCTATATCTGCTTTTCTAGTTTAAATGATTTCTGCACGTCTGTTCGTCGTTTTTCAACCATGTATGGGCTAAGTGTCTTGACTTGGTGTCATTATTCTCTGGAACCTCGCCAATAGCTATACATTTTTAAAGGTATATCTATAATGCATTGAGAGATATAACCTGTGCGAAGTACTATGTTTCTCATTCTAATCATCTATGATGTATCGTTCATACGAGATGAAATCCATTTTCCAATGTTGTACGCCTTGCCCTGATTTTATCATACTGACATCAACCAACGAGGTGCAAATAAGCCGCCATTTGATAATGATAAGAACATGCGTTTACAATTTTGACGATATATCAAATATGCATCGAAATGATAATAGCATGTTCTAAGAAGTTGACATCTCAATAAATCATAAGAAAATAATGATCCCTTTCAACCTATTCAAAACTTTTTAGCCTTCATGACGTCATAAAAAAAAAATCGCTCTTGCTCTCCATCAAATAAGTGCATTCAAAGTATATATTTTGACCTGAGAAAATATATCAGAACATTTCATACAATCTGTGTATATCTATGTCTGGATGCAAATATGTACTTAATAAGACATTGTAAAACGAAAAGAAATAAAGAAACTAAAACAACAACAAAGGCTAATCACTGACAACCTAATAGTTACTCGGACACATAAGCACAGAGCTTGGAGTTGACACGCTGGCAACTCTCCGAATTTCAAGGTCATTGTAAAGGAAACTTAAAAGCTTTCGGGTCGTCACTCTCTGATTTATTGTACGCGGGGAGGAGGAGGCGTGGCCAAGGGCAAGAGGGATATATATTGGGGCGACCTCAAGCAGCTACACAATTCCTCCTCTAGAGACTTGCTGACAACATGAAGGTTCTTGCTCTCGGTGAGTATACGAGGTTTAAAAAAGACAATTTATAGCTGTTCAGATATATTTTTTTTTTTTGCATAAATTGTATGATTACACAAGCAGCTATAGTCACATATTTTAAGCCAACATTTTGCTTGTCATTTCTGTGTACAGGATATATTTAGAACACATTTCACTAATGGTAAACATTTCTTTACACCAGTTGCTGTGTTGGTGGGCGTGGCCGCCGCCCTTCCCGGCCTCCGTCTGCGTCGCGACTCGTCTCCTCTGCGCTTCGAGCTGCCCTCCAACGCCTCGCTGGTTCTGGGTAGAATCAACACCGGATTCGACTGCGCCGAACTTCCCTACGGATACTACGCCGACACCAGCAACGACTGCGCTCTGTTCCACGTGTGTCTGCCCTACATCGACAACAACGTGTACATCACCCGCCACTTCTCCTTCATGTGCGGCGAGGGCACCATGTTCGACCAGGAACGTCTCGTGTGCGCCTTCCCCGAGGAGGCCCTTCCCTGCTCCGAGGCCGCCGCCTTCAGGAGGTCCAACGAATACTTCGGCCGCGCCGACGTCAACTTCCTGGAGAAGTAGAGCCTCGGATGAGGACACAGGGTCGATCCTCGACGTTTCATCCCGAGCACCTCATTTCATCATCTATGAGCATCTTCTCTATTTTTGTATGAAAAGGATAATTTTCTAATACATTAAACTTCTCTTTCCCATTCAGTGATTTTCCTTCCATACCCAAAGGTTGCGACACATTGTACAACTAATCAGTCCGTTTTCATGTTGCTCCTTCGAGCTCATTCTATCGGAATGAAAACTTGTTTCATTGAATAATCATCAAGTTGATCCTCGGATGAGGACGCGGTCGTTCTTTGATATTTCATCCCAAACGCCACATCTGTCATCAATGAGCCCCGGATCTATTTTCTATGAGAATTTTAAAGAATGTTGAAGACCATTTTCCCTTTCATCTTTTTTCTTCCATAACCATAACTTTCTCAGTGCTCTTGTAAAATGATCATATAAAGAGTCCTAATATTGACACTCTGTCAGTTAGCTATACTATTAATAAGGTTATAAATAAGAAGGTATTAATTATAAACTGGCACACTATGTTCAAAAGGTTGTCGACCCCTGCTATAGACCTTCAATTACAGGTTCTTATCGAAAGAAAAGTTGCATTCGGGAAAGAAGACCACATTATAACTGCTGGCACTATGTTACTACTAGTGGATGGGTGGTTACATATATGACGTACATTCCTTTAGACGTCATTTGTTTCCATTATTACAATACCATAATGTTTTTTTTATTTGATTAAGTCTTCGAAATGAATCCAAGTTGAAAGCCTTCTGCCATGATTAATTTCCTGGATATATAGGCCTGTATATATCAACCCGGAAAATTAAGCCTGAAAACATACTATGAGTCGCCATTATGGTTGCGACCCTCATGCAGTGAAAAAAAAAAAATCATATTTATTCTTAAATGGAAAAATCACATAGTCTTTCAAAATAATATGAGAATATTATTCAGTAAAGTTGAATAAGTACAGAACAGTTCAGAACAAGTTCTGATCATCTATTACCATTTATTATTACAAGATCATACAAATATAATTCTTTGAGAAAATAATATGAAAATATTATTGCGGTTTAATTGCTGAACAGATCAGAAGTTTTGACCAAAAGAACAAATAACACTAATGCATGAATATCGTTGAACGTTTTAATGTTACATTACTCTGAACGTTGCTTGTAAGTTCACACTGTATTTTCATGTCAATCTTTACCCCTCATCATCTTATCGTGATAAGCAAAGTTTAGTAGCTCATAGAGTGTATTATGAACATTGCAGATACAGGTACTGTTAATGAATTTTATGGTTGTCCCTGATAACCAGTGATACAGATATAATTGTCACGGGATATGTTTTACTTCGGTGGTAACTAAACAAACTTTGTCCCTACATACTATCGAAGAAAAGAGAAACAAATCGATTTACAGGTGGCTTTTGGGAAAAATGATAGCCAATTGAAATTTACATATATTGCAATTTCATCACCGGATGTTATGGCGTAATTTTTCTCTTCGTAAAATAGTAACGTACTTTTTATAAGCCTTCTACTGTGTACGTGTATATTTGAGTACAAGTTTATGGCATATGATTAGTGACTGGAGACATTCATTAAATGACGTGATTAAATCATTATCTAGTGTTGGTTGTATCCTCACAAATACCAGGGATCTCACTGGTCGATTTTGCTCATCTTTTAGAATAAGCCATAATGTGACAAACAGGCTAGGGAATATAAAGCCCGGTTTTTATTTCGGAATAATCAAATCATGATATTTCTGTCACATAGGTTAATAGTACAATAAGCATAAATCAACATTTTACCTTTATGAATTAACAAATGAAATACTGACTCCATTACTTTGATGACAGGAAAGTCACGGGGTATTTCTTAATGTTCCAAAAATAGAAATAGAGAAATATCCCTTTGAATTCTTTCCGAAAGATTGCTTATTTTCATTCTTATTGTTAATTATTATTATTTTTTTAAGAACAAAAGTACTTCCTAATACATTTTAAAAACTTTTTTATTAGCAACTTCTGCCGACTGACTTCACTGTTACTTTAAGGACTTCCTTCTAGTTCTCTAAAAGTATGCATGAAATATCACGCTCGAATTTCTTCACCGTTTCAAGGTCACTCTACCTGCGTAAGGACGTGTGAAAGAGTCCTGAGGGATGGAGGGGGCGTGGCCAAGGGCATCAGGGGTATATATTGGGGCTCTTCCAGGCAGGATACACATCTTTCGTAGGATTCACAAACATGAAGGTTCTTGCTCTCGGTGGGTATAAGTGTGTAGTCTTTTTCTTCAAACTTGGTTCAAATTAATTCACACAAATTGCTTGCATTGATATCTGATACTGCTTTTGATTCAGTACCAGGGTACATAATATCCCTTTAGTATGATATTCTTTCCATCAAATCGTACACAATTTGTAATGATAATATTTCCTTCAAGCAGTTGCTGTGTTGGTGGGCGTGGCCGCCGCCCTTCCCGGCCTCCGTCTGCGTCGCGACTCGTCTCCTCTGCGCTTCGAGCTGCCCTCCAACGCCTCGCTGGTTCTGGGTAGAATCAACACCGGATTCGACTGCGCCGAGCTCCCCTACGGATACTACGCGACACCAGCAACGACTGCGCCCTGTTCCACGTGTGTCTGCCCTACATCGACAACGACCTCTACATCACCCGCCACTTCTCCTTCATGTGCGGCGAGGGCACCATGTTCGACCAGGAACGTCTCGTGTGCGCCTTCCCCGAGGAGGCCCTTCCCTGCTCCGAGGCCGCCGCCTTCAGGAGGTCCAACGAATACTTCGGCCGCGCCGACGTCAACTTCCTGGAGAAGTAGAGCCTCGGATGAGGACACAGGGTCACCCTTCAACATTTCATCCCAAACACTGCATATCATTATCAATGAACATTTGATCTTTTTTGTATGAAAAAGAGAATTTTCTATTCTAATAAATATCACTTTCCTACTCCGCAATTTCCTTTCATACCCGGGGATTTTCGCGTAGACGGCATTGTGCTGTACTGGATTGCAGTTTTGACAAGAAAACCTAGGATCACAGAATCAAATATCCGATATTTACAAAAAAAAAAAAAAAAAAAAAAAAAAAAAGCTCAGTAACCATTTTTCTTCAGATAGTGATTTAATTAATTTAGAGATTATGTTTCTTCATCAGTTCGGTATTATTGAATCAGTAACCATATATTCGTCAGTAAGCAAAGTGGAGTTACGAACATAATGACCATCACTCAGGTTGTTAGCAGTTTCTGTTCATATATATATATATATATATATATATATATATATATATATATATATATATATATATATATATCCTCTCTCTCTCTCTCTCTCTCTCCAGACGTCAAATATTATGAAGAGAGAGACACGAATATGGGGAAATAGTTTAATCCTCATGTCTGGACACATCTTTGTTCAGCAAAAAGGGGGTCGTAATCAGATAATGATGTGGAATACGTTTAGGTTGGAATCTGTCTAGTTTGGCAAGTGTTGTAGGTATGTTAGCAAAACTATTTTCACTTGTAAGAAAATAATGTAACAATGCTATAAGGTATAATCATCAAGTGCTTCAAGGATAATTCTCAGATGTTAACATACGCCTACATGATATCAGACAAGAATTCTGACCACAACCTGTGTGTCTGAGCATGCACTTTTCTCATGTCTGAGTCAATAAGGTGTTTCCTTTTTGTAGAGTTTGATCGCTGGTTTTCCGAAAGATCTGTAAATGCAAAACGCCCACATAACAAGCACCCAACGGTTGCGAGAAGCTTCATAAAAGATTGCATTGTCAGGACATAAAGGGATCATTTGGCTGAATATCATGAAATATTTATAATCGATCTGAATTGTTCGGCGGCGATTTCATGATTTTCAGTCCCGTGCTTCTTACGATCAATAGGTAAGACTGGCAGGTTAAATGAGCTGATTTACGAGGCATCAGTTAGGTCCACTTTAATAAAATGCCTTAAAAGAAGAGAGGCACTAATCTGCTCAGGTGATGGGATTGAGGGAGAAAAGGGAAGGGAGGGGGGGGATCACCCGGGATAACATTTTCTCCTAGGCTTCTACTTTGGCTGGGTTTTGAGTTTTTTCTGAATGGACTGAAGTCTGTGAATGTTTTTATCCATATCTGTACGTGAATGTTAATGGTATGTGATTATCCAGTCAAAAACTAAAGATGTGCACACCCGCTATGAACATATCACTGTAAATACACTTCGCACTGTACATCTACCAGACATTCTAATGACGCTATTTTTCAAAGCCTGTGTATACTGTAGTACAAATATTACATATAATGTTAGGTTCGATTATATACTTGGTGTGAATATCGTTGGATTAATGGTATATCACGTAATTTCATTTCATCGCGTAACATTGCCTGAAAGCACAAAGTTGGACTGAGGATATCCAAATACTTACTTTCTTTAGTTTAATTCAGGTGAACTGAGGAATTATCTCTCTGTTTCTCTGTCTCAGTCTGTTTATGTCTGTCAGTCTCTCTCTCTCTCTCTCTCTCTCTCTCTCTCTCTCTCTCTCTCTCTCTCTCTCTCTCTCTCTAATATTATATATATAATATATATAATATATATATATATAACATATACATCATCTATTTCTATATATATATATATATATATATATATATATATATATATATAATATATATATATATATATATATACATATACATCTATATATATATATATATATATATATATATATATATATATATATATTATATATATATATATATATATATATATATGTATGTATGTATATCTATATCTATATCCATTTTACGTATGTCACTTTGTTATAAGAGATTCCTATGGAATGATTTTTTTGAAACAGCTATTCCAGGGCGTCATCCATCTGGGTTAGAGACGTAAACATATACAGAAAAGTGACGCTCGAATTCTCATGAATTCCAAGGTCAGCCTGGCTGAGAAAGGACAGCTAAAAGTCTCCTGAGGGATGGACGGGGCGTGGCCAAGAGGAGGGGTATATATTGGGGCTTCTCTAAGCGGCACAACCATCTCCTTTCGTAGGATTCACAGACATGAAGGTTCTTGCTTTGGGTGGGTATATCGTAACAATTGATGCATTTCTGTTCCCTTCTCTGTTGAGGTCATTGTAAACTTTTGCAAGAATATCTTTTCTTTTTATTATATATATATATATATATATATATATATATATATATATATATATATATATCAATAATCCATTTATTTTATATGACATGTTAATACAAATCGATATTATATATGCTTACATTCATTATCTCCTCAATTCAGTCGCTGTGTTGGTGGGCGTGGCCGCCGCCCTTCCCGGCCTCCGTCTGCGTCGCGACTCGTCTCCTCTGCGCTTCGAGCTGCCCTCCAACGCCTCGCTGGTTCTGGGTAGAATCAACACCGGATTCGACTGCGCCGAGCTCCCCTACGGATACTACGCCGACACCAGCAACGACTGCGCTCTGTTCCACGTGTGTCTGCCCTACATCGACAACGACCTCTACATCACCCGCCACTTCTCCTTCATGTGCGGCGAGGGCACCATGTTCGACCAGGAACGTCTCGTGTGCGCCTTCCGAGGAGGCCCTTCCCTGCTCCGAGGCCGCCGCCTTCAGGAGGTCCAACGAATACTTCGGCCGCGCCGACGTCAACTTCCTGGAGAAGTAGAGCCTCGGAGGACACAGGGTCGATCCTCGACGTTTCATCCCAAACACCGCATATCATTATCAATGAGCATTTAATCTATTTTTGTATGAAACCGAAAATTTCCTAATGTATTAAATATCTCTTTCCCAGTCAATGATTTTCTTACATACCCGAGGATATTGTCGTAGACGGCATCCTGCTGTACTGATAAAAAAGTTAAAAACCCTGAAGTTCACAAAAATCATACATCAGATTTTTTTCCCTACAGAAATATATATATATATATATATAATATATATATATATATATATATATATATATATATATATATATATATAAATGATCTTCAATATTTTTCAGTAGTATTTTTTTCTAACAGTGATTTAATTCGTTTAAAAAATATATTTTTGCTCTCTAGTCCGGTATTATAGGTAATTAACCATATAATTTTCGAAAAGCAAAGTTGAGTTACATGTAGAATGACCCTCTCTATCCTATGTCACTTATTTTGTTATCAGTTTCTGTTTATACCTTCTTTCAGACGTCAACATTTTGGAGAAGAGAAAAACAAATCTGGGAAAAGTTTCAGTCTCATGTGTGGACACTTCTCTGTTCACCAAAAGGAGCTCTTAATGAGATAATGACGTGGGATACATTGAAAATGGAAACTGTTTAGTTAACCAAGCGTTGTAGGTCTATTATAAAGACTATTTTCAATTTCATGAAAAAAAAGTGTTGATCTTTTAAGGTACAATTACCCGAAAATATTTTAATATTTTAAAGCATAACTGAAGACGACCAACGTTCTTGTTGCCATGTCGTCGAATGGTGCCTGGAAACTTCAGAGTACTTCAAAGATAATTGTCAGATGTTAACACACGCCTACATGAAATCAAACAAGAGTTCTGACCACAACCTGTGTCTAAGCATGCACTTTTTCATGTCTGAATCAGTAAGGCGTCTCTTTTTTGCAGTTTGGTTGTTGGTTTTCCGAAATATCTGTATATGCAAAACGCCCACACAACAAGCACCCGACGGTTGCGATAAGCTTCATTAAGCTTGCATAATTAGTTAGTGATCATTTGGTTGTATTTCAAGAACTATTTACAATCGATCTGAAATTTTCGGCGATCGTGTTTTGATTCCCAGTATATCATACACTGGCGGATTAAACGAGCTGATTTACGACAGTATTAGTAATCTTAATAACTTGCCTTAAATTAAAGATGTATTAATCTGCTCTGGTAATGGGACTGAAGGAGAAGGGGGAGGGGGGTAAAATTCCACCCGTGATTGCGACACTTTCTCTTTCTCTTTTTCTACTTTAGCTGGGTGTTGTACTTTTTCCCAGTGAACTTCAGAATAAGACTGTATGTTCATAGAGATCTAAGGATGTCTGTCTGCATATCTGTATTTAAATGTTAATGGTATGTGGTTATCCACTCAAGAAATAATTATGTTCATGCCTCTTGCTAGGAACATCTCAGTGCAAGTGCACTTCTTACAGTACATATACCAGTTGTTCCGATATTGCTCATTTTTCAAATCCTGTATATGCTGTAGTACAGAAATTACAAATTATGTTAGGTTCGTGTTTATCTTATGCAGATAAAAAGACCAATTACATGTGCGGTGTGAATACAGTTGGAGTTGTGATATAACACGTAATATCACCAACACATTTCATTACCTTAACGTATAAAATTTGACAGGATATCAAAATATCCAGTTTCCTTACTTTGATGGCAGTGAGTCTGACAAATCGTCTCTCTCTCTCTCTCGTGAGAAAGAATCCTGAGGGATGGAGGGGGCGTGGCCAAGGGAAGGAGAGGTATATATTGGGGCTCTTCCAGGCAGGATAAACATCTTTCGTAGGATTCACAAACATGAAGGTTCTTGCTCTCGGTGGGTATAACGAAGTTGTGGATACATTTCTGTTCCCCTCGCTGCTGAGGTCATTGTAAACTTTCGCAAGAGTAATATCTTTTTCTTTTGCGACAGTCGATGGAAGTTATTATACCTTGATTCCGTAATAGTCATCCATTCATTATCAGATCCATATTATGTTTATACTCATTATCTCCTCAATTCAGTCGCTGTGTTGTGGGCGTGACCGCCGCCCTTCCCGGCCTCCGTCTGCGTCGCGACTCGTCCCTCTGCGCTTCGAGCTGCCCTCCAACGCCTCGCTGGTTCTGGGTAGAATCAACACCGGATTCGACTGCGCCGAACTTCCCTACGGATACTACGCCGACACCAGCAACGACTGCGCCCTGTTCCACGTGTGTCTGCCCTACATCGACAACGACCTCTACATCACCCGCCACTTCTCCTTCATGTGCGGCGAGGGCACCATGTTCGACCAGGAACGTCTCGTGTGCGCCTTCCCCGAGGAGGCCCTTCCCTGCTCCGAGGCCGCCGCCTTCAGGAGGTCCAACGAATACTTCGGCCGCGCCGACGTCAACTTCCTGGAGAAGTAGAGCCTCGGATGAGGACACAGGGTCGATCCTCGACGTTTCATCCGAGCACCACATTTCATCATCTATGAGCATCTAATCTATTTTTGTATGAAAAGGATAATTTTAATGCATTAAATACTTCTTTCCCATTCAGTGATTTTCCTTCCATACCCAAAGGTTGCGACACATTGTACTACTAATCAGTCCGTTTTCATGTTGCTCCTTCGAGTTCATTCTGTCGGAATGAGAACTTAAGTTTCATTGAATAATCATCAATTTGATCCTCGGATGAGGACGCGGTCGTTCTTTGATATTTCATCCCAAACGCCACGCTTGTCATCAATGAGGACTGGATCTATTTTCTATAAATGAGAATTTTAAAGAATGTTGAAGACCACTTACCCTTTCGTCTTTTTTCTTCCATAACCATAACTTTTTCAGTGCTCTTATAAAATTATTATTTAATGAGTCCTAATATTCACACTCTCTCAGTTAGCTATACTATAGACCTTCAATTACAGTATCTTATCGAAAGAGTTGCATTTCGGGTAAAATGACCACAGTATAACTGCTGCCATTATGTTACTAGTGGGTGGGTGTTTATATATACGACTTACATTCCTTCAGACGTCAATTCTTTCCATTATTACAAGACAATAAAACTAGAACTTTATTTTGAAATTTTATTTCTGATTAAGTCTTCGAAGTGAATGGAAGTTGAAGGCCTTCTGCCATGAATACTTTCATGGAAATATAGACGTAAATATCAAGCGAGAAACTTAAGCCTGAACCTCATGCAATGAAAAAAATCATATTTATTCCTAAACGTAAAAATCACTTTGTCTTAAAATGACATGAGAATAATATTCAGTGAGGTTTAAAAATACAGACAGTCAGGACAAGTTTATAAATGTGCATAAAAGCACACTAATGAATGAATGTTGCATTTCGGTTAAAATGACCCTCACAGTATTACTGCAGCCATTCTATTACTACTAGTGAGTGTTACCGTTATAACTTACATTCTGTGAGACGTGTTTTTTTTTTTTTTTTTTTTTTTATCATCTATTGTCATTTATTACAAGACCATACAAATAGAAAATCATTTTTTAAATTTTACTTTTGGTTCAGGTTTCGAATGCAGTGGAAAAAAAAATTATCAGTATCATTAGACGTAAAAACTTGTCCAAAAAATGTGAAAATGTTATTCAGTGCGGTTGAATTGCTGAGCAGATCAGAAGTTTTGACCAAAAGAACAAAACCACTAATGAATGAATATCGTAGGAAGTTTTAATGCTACATTACTCTGAACTTTTGCTTGTAGGTTCACGCTATATTTTCATGTCAATCCTTCACATAATGTAAATCAAACAAAAACAAAAGAAAACATCTCATTGTGATAAGCAAATTTTAGTAGCATATACAGGATATTATGAACATTGCAGATACAGGTACTGTTAATGAATTTGATGGTTGTCACTGATAACCAGTGATACAGATATAATTGTCACGGGATATGTTTTACTTCGGTGGTAACTAAAGAAACTTTGTCGACAAAATGAGAAACAAATCGATCTACAGGTGGCTTTTGGGGAAAATGATAGCCAATTGAAATTCACATATTTTCCAATTTCATCACTGGGCGTTATGGCGTAATTTTTCTCTTCGTAAGATATAAACGTACTTTTTATAAGCCTTCTACTGTGTACGTGTATTTTTGAGTATACGTTTATGACATATGATCAGTGATTGGAGACTTTAATTAAATGACGTGATTAAATCATTATCTAGTGTTGGTTGTATCCTCACAAATACCAGGGATCTCACTGGTCGATTTTGCTCATCTCTTAGAATAAGCCATAATGTGACAAACAGGCTAGGGAATATAAAGCCCGGTTTTTATTTCGGAATAATCAAATCATGATATTTCTGTCACATAGGTTAATAGTACAATAAGCATAAATCAACATTTTACCTTTGAATTAACAAATGAAATACTGACTCCATTACTTTGATGACAGGAAAGTCACGGGGTATTTCTTAATGTTCCAAAAATAGAAATAGAGAAATATCCCTTTGAATTCTTGCCTAAAGATTGCTTATTTTCATTCTCATGGTTTACTATTATTTTTAAGAACAACGAATTTAAAAGTACTTCCTAATGTCCTTTAAAAACTTTTATTAGCAACTTCTGCCGACTGACTTCAGTGTTACTTTAAGGACTTCCTTCTAGTTCTCTAAAAGTATGCATGAAATATCACGCTCGAATTTCTTCAGCGTTTCAAGGTCACTCTACCTGCGTAAGGACGTGTGAAAGAATCCTGAGGGATGGAGGGGGCGTGGCCAAGGGCATCAGGGGTATATATTGGGGCTCTTCCAGGCAGGATACACATCTTTCGTAGGATTCACAAACATGAAGGTTCTTGCTCTCGGTGGTATAAGTGTCTTTTTCTTCAAACTTGGTTCAAATTAATTCACACAAATTGCTTGCATTGATATCTGATACTGCTTTTGATTCAGTACCAGGGTACATAATATCCCTTTAGTATGATATTCTTTCCATCAAATCGTACACAATTTGTAATGATAATATTTCCTTCAAGCAGTTGCTGTGTTGGTGGGCGTGGCCGCCGCCCTTCCCGGCCTTCGTCTGCGTCGCGACTCGTCTTCTCTCGAGCTGCCCCCTCCAACGCCTCGCTGGTTCTGGGTAGAATCAACACCGGATTCGACTGCGCCGAGCTCCCTACGGATACACGGCCGACACCAGCACGACTGCGCCCTGTTCCACGTGTGTCCTGCCCCTACATCGACAAACGACCTCTACATCACCCGCCACTTCTCCTTCATGTGCGGCGAGGGGCACCATGTTCGACCAGGAACCCCTTCCCTAGGAGGCCCTTCCTGCTCCGAGGCCCCCCAGCAAGGTCCAACGAATACTTCGGCCGCGCCGACGTCAACTTCCTGGAGAAGTAGAGCCTCGGATGAGGACACAGGGTCACCCTTCAACATTTCATCCCAAACACTGCATATCATTATCAATGAGCATTTGATCTTTTTTGTATGAAAAAGAGAATTTTCTATTCTAATAAATATCACTTTCCTACTCCGCAATTTCCTTTCATACCCGGGGATTTTCGCGTAGACGGCATTGTGCTGTACTGGATTGCAGTTTTGACAAGAAAACCTAGGATCACAGAATCAAATATCCGATATTTACCTGCATAAAAAAAAAAAAATAAAAAATATTTTCAGTAACCATTTTCTTCAGATAGTGATTTAATTAATTTAGAGATTTATGTTTCTTCATCAGTTCGGTATTATTGAGTCAGTAACCATATGTTCGTCAGTAAGCAAAGTGAGTTACGAACAGAATGACCATCACTCAGTTTGTTAGCAGTTTCTGTTCAATATATATATATATATATATATATATAATTATATATAATATATATATATATATATATATATATATATATTATCTCTCTCTCTCTCTCTCTCTCTCTCAGACGTCAAATATTATGAAGAGAGAGACACGAATATG